GGGGCGGGGGGCGGGGCCCATCGGGGCGGGAGAGCGCCCTTGTAACGCTCCCGTCTCTTGCAGGCCACGCGAAAGACGCGCTGAGCCTGGCGCAGATGCAGGAGCAGACGCTGCAGCTGGAGCAGCAGGCCAAAGTCAAGGTGTGTCGGGGGGGGGGCAGCTCCCGTGCGTTTCCCAAAGAAATTCCTCCTCGCCCTCGTCTCCCTGCCGGCCCCGCGCGCGCGGCTGAGGGTCGGGGCCTCGTGCTCGCTCCTTGGGGGGATGAGAGGAAACAGGAGGGAACTAGGATCTTGGCATGAAATAGAGTCGTGTCCCCTGCAAACGGTCCCTCGGCCGAGCTTGGTTTGCCAAATTTGGCAGCAGGGGAGGGGTGGCTGCATGAGTTGTCAATGCTCCCCCGGTGCCAAATTTCCCACCCCGCGGGGAGCTCGGACAGCTGGATGCCATAGCTCGGTCGGATGGATTTGGTTCATCGGCTGCCAAGTGAGCACCCTTAGACTAGATCGGGGCAGGCAATTATTTCGGGTGGAGGGCCACTTAGTGAGGTTTGGCAAGCCGTCGAGGGCCACGTGACGGGCAGCTGGGGGCAGATAAATATTAATTTTCTAATTTTTTAAAGGCTCTGTGGGCCGGATAGAGTGGCCTGTGGGCCCGCATCTTGCCCACCCCTGAACTAGATGATCTGAGGTTCCTCTGCTACGATTCTGTGATTTTTGACTGGTATACGGTCTTAGCCACAGGGACAGTCACTTGTCTTTTCCTGGACTGTTATTTTACTGGTTTTGCGTCACTTACCAGTGTACGTGCGTGTGGTTTCAGCTTTCTCGACAGTTACTTTAAAGTAGGAGACAGGCTGGACTTTGAAAAGAATGTATCGAGTCCATGTTTGCTCTCTAGATGTCGCTGCAGATGGTAACTGTAGGTGCTCTTACAGTGGGATGTTGCTGTGTGATGCGGCGTTTATCTACCTGCCTCCTTATAACATAAAATTGATTGTGATGTGAGCCTCTGCTGTAGGAGTGCACGTCTCAGTCTGTTTTTTGCTGCATGTGTGATTGCTCCTGCAAGTTGCACGTTCAGGGTGATGATTGTCATTTGCAGCCCTCTGGAGGCTCTTGCATTGAGTTGGCCTTTAACCTCTTTGCCCTCTTGCCGTAGGAATACGAGGCCGCTGTAGAACAGCTGAAGAATGAACAGATCCGGGTGCAAGGAGAGGAGAGGAGGAAGACATTAAATGAAGAAACCAAACAAAATCAAGCGGTGAGGAAACCTGGAGAAGCCGATTGGCACTGTACCTGGCTGGGTGCACCAGGTCAAAGGGGAGCACGTGGTATGAGACACGAATAGGTTTATTCCATGACAGCAGCTCCTCTTGTGCCTGGGACTTGCTACATCTCGTGCATGGACATCCTTGTACAGAATCAGTCTTGTTCTGATAAAGATTCATTTTAGGCTCGGTGTTTTCAGTTTTTAACAATTTAGCGTGTGTTAACACACGCACACATACCTTCATGCACGTGTAGTGGCTGGGGGTCATGCTGGTAAGGCTGTTCGGGGAGTGGAGGGTGCGGGGACAGGGCTGGTTGTTCTCAGGACCCTGCCCAGGTCCCAGCTGAGTCAGGGACAAACTCCCACAGAGCCTGGTCTGGCCCAGCCTCTGTGGGAGTTTGGCTCCCTGCCCTGGCTGGGACCTGGGCAAAGTGAGTGGCCATGGTACTGGGCTCCCAGCACTACCAGCCCTGCCTTTCCCCCCCGCCGCCCTTCCTGGTACAGCCTTACTGGCATGGTTCCCAGCTCCTGCATTGTGCGTGTGCACATGCATGTGCACAGCACCCCCTGTCCCAAGGTTTTAGGGTTTTGTTTTTTTTACGTTTTTATGTAAATTTCAATGATTAGCAATGGAAATTTTCCCATTGATCTGTGGATGTCCAGTAAAATCAATGTTTATCGGTGCCTATCGATAAAAATAGAATCCTGCCAAACCTAATTAATTGCGTGGATGTTTGCAGCAGAGGCTCAAACAGGCAGGAGAATAGTGCAAGTTGCACCATTCCTGAAGGCTACTGGGAATTGACGCAAAGCGTTCTGGGATGTATCCTTGCTTGTGGTGGGTGGGGTTACGGACGTAAAAAGGCAATGTTAGTGACGCAGTGAATGATCTTTTATCTCTCTCTTCCCATCCCCCCTTTTCTGAATAAAGAGAGCCCAGTACCAAGACAAGTTGGCACGACAGCGCTATGAAGATCAGTTACGACAACAGGTAAGATATGCCATGTTCTGAGGTGGCTGAGAGCTAAACCAGTCAGCATGACTTTCCTCCCCCGGGAGTAGCGGTGCCAACCTTGGCCCCATCCTGATAACTGTTTTACTGATGCCAGGCACTTCTGTGTGGTGTTTCCCACTTTTCTGCTCACCCTGTAGGATCCTTGCTTTCCCAGCTTGGTGGATCAAAATGTGTCCCCAACAGGGACAGGGCACATAAGCCAGAAATACACGGGGAATCTTGAGTTTGGGTCTAGAGCTCTTTTTTGGAGAAACCCCACTTTGTTTGAAAGCACTGCTTTCTTAGTGGCCTTTGGGAAGTATAAGTCTGCACATGTACTGGGGTTATAGGAGATCTTCAAACCACTTGGACCAGAGTTGCAGAGTTTTCTGTGCTTTCATTCAAACCTAACACTCCTTCTGGTGTTATCTGTTCTTAGCAACTCCTTAATGAAGAGAACTTGAGGAAACAGGAGGAATCTGTGCAGAAGCAGGAAGCCATGAGGCGAGGTAAGGTCCCGTATCAGTTCCCCAGGGTTAGGAACCCTGTGGTTGTGCTGTGAGCAGGCTGAGGTGCCTTTGGGGCATGCTTGTCCATGCGGGACGTGGAGCACTCACGAATGCCGTATCTGCAAGGAGCAGTTAATAAACTCTACCTCTTGTGTAATGCCCAGACCTTTTTTGGGGAAAAGCTAAACTGCTACACGTGAAGGCACTCTGCTGTGGTCCCC